CAGCATCACTGATTGAAACCAGCTTACAGGAATCAATTGGGCGGCTTTATACGATCGATCATAGGAATAGCTAACAAACGCCTGTTGGCCATCCGGCGTCAAAAAGTGCACGCAGATATGCTGAGGGACATCAACAAAGGTTGGGTAAGTGTACTGGTAGAAGCCAGGGAGAGGAGTTTTAACGGGTGTACTTATCGAAAAGCCAAAGAACAAATTAGGAGATATTTACTTAACGCAAATATGGTAAAAATACTTATCGTATTTACTAAATTAAGTAAAAAAAGTGATGCCATTGCCACTTCATAGACGAGCTGTAGTAACAAATCAGGCGTCCTGATAACCATTGATATGGATTAAGCTTTGGAGGCGGTTGGGTTCTAGCATATGAAAGGGCAGTTCTCCGGAACAATCTATTATTTGCCAAAGACAGTGTGAATAACTGGCTCACAAAAAGAGCATGGCTGTTGGCTAACAGGCTTCTTTAAGCGATTTGGTAGTGGCTGAAGGGTGTTGCGCAATAAACGTAACGATTGACTAGATATTCATAAAGCATTGATTAAGTTATAATTACGCCTTAGGTGTTTCTGGGCGGTCGTCCGTGAATAATGAACCAACACAGTTGAGCCACTACCCTTGCTGGGGTAGTGGCTCAACTGTGTTGGTTCAGGTATCTTTGTGAATGGTCTTAGAAACGGTCCGCTGCAGCGGCCCTCTCCTGTAAGTATTATGGAATCAAAGCAAGACAACGCATAAAGGCCAGCTTTCTCGAAATAGAACGTTGTTGATTAGTAAAGCAACTCAGCGATCAATCTCTTACCGCTACTATTGAGCTTCGAACAAGCTATTTTTATCCCTTGCCTGACGCTGCTCAAGCAAGACTCTTTTTGCCTGATTCCCGTGGTATAAGCAATGGATTTCAACCAGTTGCGCTTTTAAGACCGTAATTTGTTGTCCCCAATTATCCTTGGTTAAGCGAAGTTGCCGCATGGCTTGTTGATGTTGGTTATCCAGCGCACGCCAAGAATCGGTCTCTTGGTCGATTAGTGTTTTCCATTCCGCCTTGTGTTGGTGGTCCCATATCAGTTGCTGGGGTGGCTTTTGTGGATAGATCATCAGTTGGATGGACTAACTTGATTAGAGGGTTCACTTTATGGCCTAAGTCTGTGGGTACAACGTAACTCATGTGAATGTGTCCATAAAGCTTGATTTAGCGTAAGTTAGGCCACGCGTTAAGGAAATGTTCTAAATTCAACCTCGCATACATGCCCTGAAAATAGACCCAATTGGCCTATGCAGAGAAAGGGAAAATTTCTCAAAGTATGTTAATGAACTATCCGTAGAGTGACTCTGACAATTACAACTGAAAGATCATTATGAAACTAACCTTTTCGTGAACGCCTGCTAGTTTTTAAGACAAAGACCAGATTATCTCCCTGAGTTATGACAAGTGTTCATTTGAAGTAGGGAATTGACCTTTTATTAGACGAAACGATAGGAGACCCGTCCTGAAAAGTGTTGACCGTTTGTTAATAGTGACCCGTCCTGAAATCGAATGATTATGCGGGTACTATCGAATGTGGTAATCACCATTCTTTACGACAAATGCACCCATATATCGGTCTTCAGACAACGTATCAAGCCGCCCGTTAATAGGCTGATACCTGTAATACATGTATATATACGTTTATGTTTTGTATGTAATAATGATGTTGTTATCCTATCAAATGGTTTGTAGTCTGGCATTGGGCAATGGGCCAAAATAGGGGTGGCCGCAGTGGTGAACCATCAACATTCTTAGCAAGCTTGATTGGCCTCCGAAGTCGGCCACTTTCAATACCAAGCCAGAAAACAAATCTTGTTTTTATCCCCGCGCGGCGGCTGCCATTCCAACCTAGTTTCTAGTTAGCCCATTAGCCCCTACCGGGCTAGATTTTCTTAGGCATGGACCACCCCAACTGTACGGGACGTATGCTACGGATAGTAGTTGACAGTTATACTACACTTATGTCAACGCAAACTCCGCTTGTAATAGGGTATCATAAGCTTTAGCGTAGCCAACAAGTAGAATGATTAAATACTTAGCGTGAAGGTAATCGTCATTAGATAACCATCGATAGTACGTTCTTCGACGGCAGCCCCCGTGGTTGTTTTATCAAACAAACGGTCGCCAACATGAGGCAGTACACCGAAGGTATTATAGAATTTCTGAATGCTGTAGACACAAATAGCCATGCGCTCGACCCACGTATCGGTTATCACGGGATCTTCATACCAGTTGTCTAGCTTAGATTGCTTTTTGACCAGACCGAGTACTCCGATCTGATAAGACAAATTTGATTTTCCAATTCTCAATTTCCCAATCTATACGTTCAATCGGATCAATTATGGTGGCTTGATTTTTCATGACTGCTGCGCTACGGTATTGGTTATACGCACTGGTTTCTGACTTATTTTAGCCACTGGTTTTAACGGAGCCTCTCTTTTTCTTCGTCCCTAGTTGAATTAGTTCATGGACGGCCCGCTTATACTGGCCTAGTCGTTGTCTGAACTCTAGGGTTGGGCCTAAGCTATCCATCCTGTGGCACGAAGGCAGAGAATGCTATCTGGTTGACCCCCATATGGTTCCAGATCCGCCAATCCGGAAGGAGATAGATGGTGCTTTAAATAGGGATGTATGGACTCATTACCAGGCAGGTCCGTTTGATCATCGGTTAGGTACCGATAGGTTTCAATCGCGATCAGAATGCGTCCCATCGAATCAACTTCTTCAGCCGATGACATGTGAGTGGAGGAAAACAGGCGCTAGCCCATGAACTCAACTAGTGAGGGGCTGAGGAGCGACTCCGTGTGAATAGACTAGTCTACCGCTAGTGGGATTTACTAGATTGGGATCGAATTCTCACCTGATCCAGGTACTACAGGTACTGGCTATTCGCTGGCCACAAGAATCGTTAGTGAGCGGAATGCTGGCGGATGGATAGCCAGTCTTGGATGAATTGATCATATAGCTCGAATGGGATGATCAGTGAAGCCTAATAAATAGCTGCTAATCAGGGAGGAAATATAAGTTTTGTTTAACGCTTAACCTAATTTATCGCTAAAACATTAAACAAATCACCATAACAGCGACTGTTGAGTCAACACGATAGTTGATTATACAACAGCTTTTAGTCAGAGAAAACACTAACAAGCCCACCTAGTAAACTAAAATTACTTACACAGTTTGAGCGAACCAGAAGTTATAGAGCACCTGTCTATAACCGCTCAACCAATATGTACACTTCTCGCGACAGCTTCGATCGACAACCGCTCTTCATTCGACAGGGTGCCTTACAACTATGGGGGACACTATTGGCCAGACGAGTCGATTTGTGTCGGGTTCGTGAATTATATGCCTTCGGTGATTTCTATGCCGAGTTATACTTTGATTTAGAAACGGGTCAGCCTACTTGTGTATGTTCTTTTGCTAGGTTGCAACGGTTGGCTATTTATTTAGATGAAGTCACCATCAATACATTGACTCCAGGGGAGAGTTAAGTTAGGTTTACCTAATGCCACTTACATAACAAAAAGATTAATCAGATAACCATTTGGTTGCCTTTTGGCTTAAGTTACAGTAGGTTCAATACTAGTAATTACAGCAATGGTGACACTTTTTTTTTCAGCGTTGGAAAACCATGCCAACCACCGCAATTTTAGCTGTTCGCTGGGCTCATTGGAAGCCAATTGTGATCTATTAAGCCGTATAGTTGCTCAAGGAAACACACTGTTAACAGCATATGTAATTGAGGATAATATTCGGACAGATCTCCCCCTAGCTGCTTTTGATGGGATTCCTTTGTCAACGGGTATAAGAGCCCTACAAACGGAGTGGCGAAGCGTTTTGAATGAACCCCATTGTGCAAGCTTGATTCACCGAAAAGCAATGATTTCTCTAATCTATCGACGAGTTCATAACCTTGAAAGGGGGATAATTTCTCATGAGCGGATGATTAATTACTACAGCAAATGGCTTAAGCGCATTGAGGAAAGATCAACGATTGGGCCTATGCAATCTCATCTTGCTCATCACTATGAGAGCCAATTAGTTAACCATCAGACACAGGTGTGCGAAGCACATTTTCGTAAAAATTTGGTAGTTGATCGATTAAATCAGCTGTTGGTTTGATTTATACAATTTCAGGATCTTACCTATTACAATACATACTACAATTCTTTTATTAATCTCCTTACATAATCGTAGCTATACAACAGGTGTAGGTAAAGTGACAATACCAAGGCACTACGCCTATGTATCCACTCATGGATTTTTGACAGAGCTACTTAACTTTGAGTCATTGATCAGTACTGCCGGATCGTATAGCGGTTATTACTTCAGACTCTGACTCTGAAAACCCTGACGGTCCGCGGTTGCGGTTCGATTCCAGGGCCGGTAACTAAACCAAGAAGGCCAGCCGTAACACTAGGTGTTATAGCTGGCCTTCGCAATTATCTACTAATGACCCCGGACAGGTTCGAACAGTCGACCCATTAATTAAGACGGGGCCGCCCGAGCAGTCAATTGCTCTACCAACCGAGCTACGGAGTCATGTTAGGCTTGGTAGTGCTACACCCATTTCCTTAGTAAATGGGTGCCCTTTTCAGAGCGATTAATGACCAAAAATTCAAGTAGTAACATTCTATTTATGTCACTACTTGAATTTTGCACTTATTTTGGAATCCTATGCGATTAAAGGTGTTTGATAGATATTGAAGGATAAGCGTCTCCTGAAACGCTGCCTTTGTAATACATTTCCATTTATAAGCATAATTACTCTAAACCAACTAAATATCATTAAGTATTAAATAACTATTAAAGTTTGAATAAACCCATTTTGAATAGTAATTATAGTATTAATTTACTATCTTCATCCTTAATATTTAAGGATATATACTCATTTTCGAAGTGAAGTGAATTATTACACTATATTGACCTGGAATACTGATGGGGACGACTGGATATCAACGATCCATCTTTTAAGTAATGAACATTCCGCTGAACTGGTTGCTGCACAGATCGACCGAATGACCGCTGAGGAAGCAGAAATCGTTAAGCAATACCTGGAGCAAAGATACCCGAACCATATTTTCATGATTCGAGAGGCAGCAACTCGGGTAACTCATCTTAGTAAGCAAATCCTTACTGATGTTGGTACGGACAAGGTGATTCGCGAGATTGGGTAAAGACACAGCTGGAAGGCAAACGGCTGTATAACCGCTACTATAACCCCTGAATCTAACTTTTGGCTATGCCAGCGAGCCGGCCGGGTGTATAGGGTGAAACCCTCATTCATACATACGAAACATTTATATGTATTCATGTGTAGTGTTCATGTGAGTTTGTAGTAAGCTCATTTTCAAGCTCTTTATTTTGTCAATTACCGGCCCCATAGTTTGTATCGAAGATGATGAGGACGACCAACAGTTAATTAGCGTCGCGATCAAGGAGCTACAAGTCGCCAATGAATTACGCTTTTTTACGGACGGCAAAACGGCGCTTCAGTATTTAGAAAATACACCCCAGAAACCTTTTCTAATCCTGTGTGACATCAATTTGCCGGTCATCAATGGCATCGAGCTACGAAAACAGCTCAATCAGAATGAGTATCTGAGACGAAAATCCATTCCCTTCCTGTTTGTCTCGACAGCCGCCGATCCTGGATTAGTTCGGATGGCCTACGACGAAACGGTTCAAGGGTACTTTAAAAAACCGGTACGCTACTCTGACCTGAAAGAACAGGTCAGATTGATTCTGGCTTATTGGAGTGAATGTCTTC